AGCCACAAGCACACGAAGAGTAGGAAAACCCACATACAAAAAGAAAGCGCATGCCAGTTACACATTCAAAGCCCACAAAAAAACCACACATCAAGGCGTACATGAACCACACAAAAGGTCCTCAGGAAAGTCAAGCCAAACTTCGTGAACGAAGGTTGAGTGATATGAGTGTGATGTGTAACAAAACACACAATACCGTTGTGGTTGTCAGCATGGGTCCGCCATGATGTTGCAGATCAAATGCGCAAAAACCACAAGCATGCGTGTAACCCTAACGAATAGCACAGACCACAACAAAAGAGACAAAAGACTGCTAAACTTTCTCGCACACGCATAAAAATGAAAATTCAGACACACACACTCCTCTCTGGGCCCTATGCTCCAATGCGCCGCTGGGGTGGGATCGGGAAAACGCGTTGTTTAGAATATCACAAATCAAAGGTATACAGCACCACAATGCCACGCTGTCGAACATGGCGCTCGGGAAGGAAAACGATGACACATCGCAAACGCCAGTGGCGAGATAACATGATGGTTGGTATTATAAAAAGAGTACGGGCCAAGACGACAAGGAGGGGCAGACCAACCTCTGCAAAGCCGGGTTGAGTGAACCCATGGTGGTCTCGAGCGCGGTGCATACGTTGGGCAACTGGAGTACCGTGGTGTTGTCTGGATGGCTACGTAGAAACTGCATGATGGTGGCTGAAGTTAGGGCTTGGCTTGACGTGATCGCCACCGGGACACCTCGTGCAGCGTGCGTCGATGCCAGCGAGCTCGCTTGGTGTTGTTGCTGACGATGATGTGAGGGCTGAAGTTGTTGCTGATGTTGGAGCAGCAAGAGCTGTTGTTGATGTTGCTGTTGTAGCTGCTGCAAAAACAAGAAACGCAGCAGATGCAGTTGCTGGTCTGGTGTCAGCGCCGTTGCGACGCCGGGCTGTGGCACCTGTGCAGAGGCGCGTGGCCTGGATGGATTGAGGGCCTGCGCGTGGATGTGGGGCAAAAGCAAGGGATGGACAAGCCCGGGAACTGCCGACTAAAGACAACAAGCGCAAGTCCGAGATGAGGTAGCGGGGGAGAGGCCATGCGGTCGTGCCATGTATTGGGCCACAGGGCGACTCGGCCAGAGGAGGCCCTGTACACCGCCACTACCTACCGCTGCGAGGGGAGCTGGGCGATTGGCAGCGGAAGTGGGAAGTGGTCCGAGTGTCGATGGTGCGGTGGTGTCGGAAGAGGTGGAAGAGGTAAATGCCCTCGCCCGGGGGGCGCCCCCAGACGAGTGCATCAGCCAACGATGGAGGCGTCACGCACAGCGTCGTGGATGGGATACCTCAAGCCAATCGCACATTGACTCTGAGGAACATGATTCGGTTGTTCACGAGTGTTTCCCTCCCCGAAGACCAAGCAACCGGGTAAATCTGAAAAAAGTGGTCAATCGTGCACAGAATTGGGTTCTTGTGCGAACTGCAACCCCCCTTTCTCTCTCACACATACACTCACATGTGTGGGCCACGGTTGGGAGCCGACCCGCCACGATCAAGGCGATCTCAAGGGTCTGATCGAGTGAGCGAACGGTGTGGAGCGTTGCAAGTGGGAGAAAGGAATGTGTGTGTGTGTGTGTGTGTGTGTGTGTGTGTGTGTGTGTGTGCTGAGTAATGGGTCAAAGGACACTCAAAGCAAACAAAAAATAACAAAGAAGAGGTGGGATGTCCTGCTGCGAATGCAAAAAAAAAAATAGCAAAACTGTTTGATTGGGAGGTTGCGCGGGGGGACCTGTTACTTACGACGGGGCATCAAGCCAAGCCAAGCGTGCGTTACTCAACCGGGTCCTTCCCACCACGCTTTGTGGACGCCGAATGCTGCGTCTGTATTCCATCGTTAATGGTGACATGCACACCATGCCGACTTTACGCCCTCCCCGTCCCTCCATTCATCTTGAGCGCGTGCTTTCGCAGCAGCAAGATTGACGTCATCGGCGATCGGGGCCGGGTCCATTTCCAACGCACAAGGGCAACATGGACGGGGAGAGTCTCTGCGACGGCTGCATGTACGCGATCGCCCCATCGCCATCGCCATCAGGCGTGTGTCGGCTCCCATCCCCAAAGGCAACACTGAGGGAAAAGAACACGAGGAATGATCATGGACCTCCGTCGTAGTGACAACGGCTTACAAGAAGTGCATCCGGCCAGATTCATGACCGGTGGCCAGAAGGATGCTGGAGGCTCAAAGCCGATTGCTCAGGGCAGCTGCTGTCAGCATCACGAGCACTTCCTCCGAGGAGTCTGAGACCAGACTTCTAAAGAACATCTGACTTTTCTATGGAAGCATTGCAGCCGAAGATCAGGCCAGATCGGCCAGATGCATCCTTTTGGAGTTGCGGACTGCATCCCGAGGGCTGTTGAATTCTGGGTACCGCGGAGACTGGAAGATTCACAGTGACATGAAGAAACATCCAACCTTCGAAACCAGTGAGAATATCTCTGAAAACGAACGTAGTGACATTAGTTTTCCTAGCAATATAGCGAATGCAGTGAGCTCTTCAACAAAACGATTCCCATCTTGTCCGCAGTTTGCGTTGATGCTCGCATCATCGAAAGACGCCTCATGCGCTTTATGGACTGAGCGCAATAGCCTAAACCAAACAGGTGCGCCAGCTCCAAAAAGATTTGCGAGCAAGGAGCAAAGAAGGTGGCGACAGGAATGCGCAGCGCGTTTCAGCGGGGGCCGGGGCGACCGTCCTCTACTCCTTTCGCTGCTTGGGAGGTGTGAAATTCGGCGTCGATGTCCGGGGGCAAACTCGACGGCAAAAAGCACTACTGACACTCATCCCGGTTGTGTGCCCCCGGCTTGGTGAGCACCAGCGCCTTGGCGGGCTTTGATTTCACGTTTCCTTTTGCTGTGGCTTGTCGATACATTGTTGTTCTCATCCACCAAGGTGTTATTCGACGACAATGACCACGGCATTTCTTGATAACGATTGAGAGAAAACACGCAAGGAGAAAGTTGAAATACAGAGGGGCAGGCAAGCAGTAGGCACTGGGGAGAATGGGAATGAAAATGAGAGAGATTGAAAGATTGGGAGCGTCAAAATGAGGAGAAGAAAAGAGAAGCAGCACAAGAAAGGAAAGACACGCGAGCTAATAATAAAAGACAGCAGACTCTTCTTCCTGCAAAGCTTGTTGATGGCAGCCAAAGCTGAAGATGGTCCAACACAGAAGGCGGCGCAGGAGACTCAGCGACCAGCACGTGACGAGCTCATTCGCAGTGTTCTAACTCATACCAGCTTCGGATCCACGGAATGTATTCACAAACACGGGCGGAGCACAAACAGGCACGGCTGCCAAAACGCTCGTCAAGTAACAGGTAAGTAAGCGGCGAGACTTGAGAATAGCAGAGAATATGCAAAGTAGCAATCAGCGAAAAAGGTTTGATCTGACGGCAAGGGGGGGGAATAAAAGGGAACTCTTCCTTTTGGCACCCCAGTTGACCACCGAGGAGTGGGTTGGCAAAGTGATGAGCTTGCGGCACGTTCAGAAGGACTCAAAACATGGATGCACGTCTGATTGCGCCTTGGGACGGCCGACGAAACACCACACGGTCTGGGCGGTAGGGCAAGGGAGAGGGCGGGTGGCCAGAAAAGTTGTTGAAGTTGGGGCTCGGGGCCTTTTCCATTTTGCGCGGCAGATGCTGATGAAAGCGGTCATCTACGCGGTCTGCTACGAGGGAGATTTGGTCGGACAACACGTGCATTTCTGCCAGCTGTGGCTCAAGCGACATGGTACACCACGTCGCCGTGTCAGCGGCTTGTGTTGCGGCGTCCGATCCACCGTTTTCTTCGGCGGGTCCCTCCGGATAGGCGGGGTGATGACCCGTGATACAGCGCCGAGCGCGAAGAACGGCCGATGGCTGCTGCTCCACTCCGTTAATGGGCACCTCGGGTGACCCAGTCATGAGACGCGAGCTCTCAGCCGTGCTCACAGGGCCGTGTCTCAGAAGCGCGTGGGGTACTGGGTGCTGGGGCAAGGGGTCCTGGTCCAGCAGGTCCTGGCCCAGCGGCACGCGAGCGAGGGGTGGTGGGGAAGACGGAGGAGGGTGCATGCGCGCAGCAAAAGGTCGAGATGCAAACGAGTTGGAGCGGGCCACACTAAAGCCTCGCCCAGCCTGCCTGGGGCGAGGTAAGACCAGCTGAGCTGGTGCAGCCGGCGCAGCCGGCGCAGCTGGCGTGCGTAGCATGCTTTGGGCGTCCGTGTCGAATAATACCCGGGAAGGATGCGAAGAGATGGGCGCCTCTCGCCAGAGGGAGCGAGTGGCCCGGTCTGTAGGAGGCGGGGAGTGTTGCGCCATGTCTTCAGCCACAGTGGGTTCGGCCACACCTGGTGCGGCATCCAGCAGCGCGGACATGCAAAAGGTAGCACCCGCAACAGGCATGGCCTGGACTGCAGGAACGGTGTTTGCTTCGGTCGCAGGCTCATCCTCGGGGTTCAAAGCAGCCGTGGTCTCAACTTGGCGTTGTTGCGTTGGTTGCGTTGCTCGGTTTGAAGTGGAATGGCTGTCTCCTGCAGCCTCCAATCGAGCGGCATGAGCGGACGGTTGTTGGGCTACCCCGTTCACGTAGAGGCTGGGGTCCCACAAGAGGCGTAGCGCTGGGTGAGGTCGGTGTACGAGATGACCGGGAGGGCAGCTATCCAGCCGGCTGTGGCGTCTGCGTGCTTGAGAAGGCGATATGGGGGCCACACGCTGCGCCAGGGGCTGAGCTTGAATCACGTTTTGGGCGGCATCGGTCAGCGTGGGGGGAGAGGAGCTGAGATCTGCACCGGTGTGGTCCGCATGATGGCGTCGCGGGAACGAGGTGTTATAGATCTCATCAGATGCCCGTCGTCCCTTACGTGGAGCGGCCAGGCCGAGGTCAGGTGAGCCGGCATCCTGCAGGATACAAAGGACAAACAACAGGGTGAGTCGGTCGGCAAAGACAAAGGGCAGGCCCCGGTTGAACGCTGTTCGGAGATTGAGCGTTACCGGCAGCCCGAGGCCCAACCCAAGAAGAGACGAGAGTTTGTGTGCTTCACTACGACAAAAGCGAGGCGGTTGCATGCAAACGTAGGGCTGGCACCGTACCATCAGAGAAGGTTTTATTGATGACTCGGGCGCAAACTGCTGCCAAGGGCCCACGGCAAACGAGCCCAGGTAAAGGGAAGAAAAAAAAAAAAAAAAAAAAAAAAGGCGCCTTGGACCAGATGAGAACAAGGCGGTTGCTGCCACCGCGAGAGAGGCCAGGTCAATCGTGATCAAAGTCCAACCCCGCTTGCGGTATCTGGCGGCGTGCAAGACCAGAGATGGGTGCGCGGCGCGCGCGAGCGTGTCTTTGCGAGAGTGCGCAGCACGCGATGGGTTGCAGCTCAGGGGGAAAGTCTCACGCGCCAAGCGCTGGAATAAAGAACAGCGCAGCAACTCCGTTGAAGCCGTCAATCAAATACCAACGCCACGCTCGGCTTTATAATGCCTGCGCCCCGCAAGCGGTCACCCGCCACCACCACCACCACACCGCTGCCCTTTCTTTCGTTCTCCGCCTGCCTGCCAACACAAGCGAGAGAGAGAGAGACAGCAGAGAGAGACAGAGAGAGAGAGACAGAGAGAAGGAAGAGAGTGATGAATTGGTTTGATCGAGAGTGAGAGAGAGAGAGAGAGAGAGAGACACACACACACACACACATACACACACACACACACACACACACACACACACACAGCATCGCTGATGTTTGTCTACAAAACAGCTGCGTCACTCTCTTCTTGAAGCTGAGCTCGATATTGTGAATAAGATTTTGAGGGAAAAGTCACATTCAAAGTTATTTGTAAAGTTTTGTCGACAAGTCTTCCCGCCAAAACCTCAAGTTCCCTGAGTTTCTTCTTTTATTTTTTTTTTCCGTTTTTTCTTTTCTCCAGTGTGTCAGTGTACGCAAATGGCAGCACAAGTGGCACGATCCCTGCCCAGGGCTCTGCGGGTTGGTTCAAGGCCGATCGTGCGTTGGGCACATGGCCATGCTCAAGCGCTGCCTCGCCTCGAGG